TTAAATAAAAGTCTAATTATTATTATTAAATTCCCTAGGCTAATTAATCTTATTTCTCCTAAGTAAATTTATTATATAAGATCTAATAAATTATATATAAATATTTATTAAAATTAAAATAATTAAAAAAAAATAAACCTAATATTTAATATACTTTTTCCTATATTTTATAATTAGTTTAGTATTATTTTAGGTTTTATTTTCTTATAAATATATATATATTTGGAATTTATAATTAATACTTTAAAATAATACTCTTTAATTAGTTCTTATATTATTTAAAAATTAGATTACTAAATTTAATACTTTTATAATATTTAAATTTATTTAAGTTTATAAAGTTTTATAATTATTAGGGCTTTTATAATTCTTTATCTTTTAAGTTTAATATCTAAATTATATTATATACTTTATTTTTAATATAAAAAAGACTTCTAAAAATCTAGAATTATAAAAAGAATTTTATATTAAAAATATATTAAAAATATATTATATTATAATAATAAAATTATAAATATTTATATATAAATATATAATATATTAGATTAGTTATATTAAAAACCATATTATATCTATATATAAAATTACTAATTACTTTATATTAATACCGGATTTATATAATTATATAACTTTATATAATTAGCTAGCTATAGAAAAGCCCTAAAGCCCAAAACTTATAAAGAATTTTAAGGGCTTTAGGGCTTTTAAACTATTACTAATATCTGGTATTTTTTAGGAAAAAAGTATAATATATTCTATAATAAGTAATTTATTATAGATTATTTAACTTTTAAGTTAAGTAGGAAATCTAAGGGCCGGATTTATAATTTAAGTCTTATTAAGATTATTAAAGTCTTTACTAGCTAATATTATAAATTTAATAAAAATATTATAGAAATCCTATAGGTTTTATTCTAATTTATTTAGAAAATATATATAATATATTTCCTTATTTATTCTAATATTTATATATAATTCCTAAAAGCTAAACTATTACTTAAAAAAGAAATAAGAAAACTAAACTAATATCTTTAAAAACTAAGGCCTTAATAAGTTTATTTAGAAAAACTTATTAATTTTTTTAAAAATAACTTAAAAAAAGTTTAAGTTTATTATATATTATAACTTATATAACTAGAAATAGGAACTATTTTAATAAGCTAGAAAAAGTTTCTTATATAACTTATTTATATAACTAGAAATAGGAACTTAAGTTTATTATATAGAATTACTTATATATAGAGATTTCTATTATAAATTTCTTATTTAGATTAATTAATTAAATCTATTTTTAATACTAAATCTTTATTAAAGTAATTTCCTGCTTCTAAAAACTTTAAATAAAATAACTAATAAGTTTTTTTAACTATTAGCTAAGATTTATTAGCTAGAAAATCTATAAATAATAAATAAGATTATAAAATAGAACTTTCCTAATTATAATACTAAAATATTTTACTATAATATAAAGTAATTAGATATAAAAGCTTTATTAAATATAATATATCTTAAATTATAAGTTTATAAAATAAATATAAGAAATCTTAGTATTTAACTAGTATTATAATTTAGCCTAAAAATATTTATTATTTTTTATATTTAATTTAATAGAAATAAGAAATACTTATATTTTAATTTAAGAAATAATTAGAACTTTTATATAAATTTAGAATAATAGTTTATTTTATAAAAAGAAAATAGATTAGAAATATTTATATTATATTAATTTTTAAAAAAAGTTATAATAAATATTATAATTTTTAGAAAATTCTTAAGAAAACTTCTTTAAACTAAAATAAACTAGTTTATAATTCCGAAAAATTAATAGAAATCTTATATATCTAAGAATATAAATATTTAAAATAAATACTATTTAAGATCTAATTTATAATAAAAGAAAAATAAAATATATAAAATAAAATATATAAAATAAAAATAAAATAAAATATTCGAATATTTAATAAATAAAAAATCTAATTATAAATTATAAAAACTAGTATTAACTAAATATATATATAATAATATTAAAAAAGAAATAAGATAAGAAAAACTAAAAAATAAATTAATATATATTTTATAAAAATAAATAAAAAGATATCTAAATAGCCTAAAAATAAAAAATATATATTAAAAAAATTAAAATTAGAAAAAGAAAAACTATTTCCTATAAAAATAAATTAATATATATTTTAAAATAAAAAATAGAAATACTTAGTAATAGCCTAAAGGCTTTTATAAATATTAAAGAAAAAAAATATTAAAGTTTAAAGAAATCTAAATAAGAATTAGTTTCTTTTTTAAAAGTTTAAAAGAAAATATTTCTAAAAAACCTAAAAATATAAGAGATATTAAAAAAGAAAAGAAAATATTAAAGTTTAGAAAAAGCTAAATAGAAATTAGTTTTTTTTTTAGAAATTTAAGAAAAAATATTTCTAAAAAGTCTAAAAATATAAAAGATATTAGAAAAGAAAAGAAAGAAATATTAGAAAGAAAAAAAAAGAATCTAAAATTTAGCTTTCTAAAAAATAAATAAATTAAAAACTTATAATATAGAAATTCTAAATAAAAGTAATCTGGAAATAATAATTAGGTATTAGCTTTAGTATTATTAGTAAAAATATTAAAAAAAAAGAAGTTCGGAAAAAAAGTTTAAAGAAAGAATTTAAAAAAGAAATTTAAAGAAAAAAAGAAAAGAAAAAAGAAAGAAAAATTATAAAGTAATTAGATATTAGCTCTTAGTATTAATAATAAAAGTATTAAAGGAAAAAGGATTTAGAAAAGAAATTCGGAAAAGAAATTTAAAAAAAGAGTTTAGAAAAGAAATTTAAAAAAGAAATTTAGAAAAGAAGTTTAAAGAAAAAATTTAGAAAAGAAATTCGGAAAAGAAAAAAAAAGTTATAAGATAATTAGATACTAGCTTTTAGTATTAATAGAAATATTAATAAAGATATTAATAAAGATATTAATAAAAAAGATATTAGTAAAAAATAGAAACTTTTAATATTAATAATAAAATTAAAAAAATATATAAAAAAAATAGAAGTTTTAGAATAAAAATAAAATAAAATTATAGTTTTATAGAAAATAAAATTACTAATATAAGATAATTATATTATTATATAATTTTATATTTACTTTTATTATTTATTAAAAATATATATTTCTTAGAAAAAAATATTATTTAGAATTCTTAAATCTTTTTAATTTAATAATTATATATTTAAAAAATAAGAAATAAATATAATTATATATATTAAAATAAAGAAATTTTTCTTATTTAAAAATTATAATTATAATATTACTAAATATAGAAATATAAAAGTTTATATAATAAATTATATATAGAAATTTAAGGAAATTTAAATTATTTTAAATTATTTATAATTAGTAAAATAAATTAGCTAATTATATAAATTAAATATAATTTAATTATTATTAATATATTTTAGCTTTTATAAGTTAGTAAAAAAAAGAATTTTTATATTTTTATTTTTATAATTATAATATTTAAAATTATAATTTTTTTAATATTTAAATATACTTAATCTAGAGCTATTAAATACTAATATTTTTATTTTTAAATATTATTTATTATAAATTTATTCGGATTTAAATAATTATATTAAATATATATTTTTATATTCTAAAAATAAATAATAAAAATATAGCTATATTAGTTTTAATCTTAGCCTTAATCTTAATCTTAATTTTTTTCTAAAAATAATTTTAATTCTAATATATAATACTATTATTAAAGCTTTTTTTTATTAAAAATATATTAAATATAGCTTTAGATAATAATTCTAATAAAAATAAAAGTAATAAAAAAAATAATAAAGCTATAAATAAATAAATAAAAAATATTTATAATATATTTTCTAATAATTTAAATTTAGTCTATAATATTTTCTTTTATTAATATATTTAACTAATAAATTTCTTTATTTCTTAATTTCTTTTTTATATATAATTTTTTTCTTCTTTTTTTTTCTTTTTAATAATATTTTAATCTTTTTATATTATTTAATAATATTACTAAAATAATAAAATAAATTAATAATAAAACTAAAATTAAAAAAATAGAATTATATTAAAATAGGAAACTAAAGAAATTAGAAAAAAATAAAGTAAATTTAAAAGCAAGCTTAGTATATATTTATAGAACTAAATTCTCTTAAGCTTATATTATTTATAATAATAAGAAAAGACTAAAAGATTCTTTTAAATATTATATAATTATAAAAAGCAAATTTAATAGTACTTATATAAATTATAGATATAATAATAATAATAAAGTCTATATTTTTTATTAACTTAATACTAATTCTATTAAGTCTAAAAAGCCTTATTCTATATTTATAAAATTCTTTATATTAAAGCTTTAATTACTTATAAGATATAAAAAGCAAGTATAAAGATAGATATAAGATTAGAAAATAATAGGAAAAAAGATTATAGTAAAGAAGAATAAAGATACTAAAGAAAAAGAAAATAAAAGAAATATAAATAATTCAAGTAATATAAATAATATAGAAAATATAAAGAATAAGAGAAATAGAGATATATCTCGTAATTTATAGGATTTGCCTTATAAACTATATAAGCTAAAAAAGGGCTAGGAGTAGTCGAGAATAAGGTATATATACTATACTTTTTTTTTTTTTTAGTAAGATATAGGAGGGGGGACAGGGGGGGTACAGGTACGAAAATCAAAAAATCAGAAAATCACTTTTCGCTTCTCGGTTTTGTCGACTAGCCCGCTAATGGCCTCAGTACTCCTGCCTCACAAATTTGAACTTCTATATGCCTTGGCACTCATTCTCAATATCCGCATATGTTTGCGTCATTATTTACAGAAAGAGACAATTGGGCGTCAGAAACGTCTTACCGGAGACGAGCTCTGGAAGATGGTTGCGCAAAATGAAGCTGGTGGCAGACTGTCAGGGTGAAAATTAGACATATTTACATCCGAGTGTGCTTTGGAAGAACGGATGCAGAGGGTCAAGTCTCGTGTTTTTTCTTTGCGGGGGTTGAAACACACGGCAGAAATGAGTTCTTGCACTCAAATTTTAAGCAAGGTGGTTTAACCTTAATCAAACCTCGGTACAACCGCGACAGGGCGAATACCTCCAACAAAGCCAGTCATTTCTCCGCTATTCAGCAACTTAATCATACGCCCCACTTCATTGCAAACCAGAGAGATCGAACTCTTCGAACAATGCTACCCCATCTCTGATTACTTCTCCGCCATTCAGCTGTCCAATCACGCTGCCAATCCACCGCACATACACTGGAGCGGCATCCACAGCGACCTGTTGAATATGCACCTGGATGCTCAGGGCATCCCCCGAGTCCAGCTTCACCTCAAGCGCATATCCAGCAAGCGTTCCCTTGGAGGACGCCGTTCTGTTTGTGTATAATGGGGCCAGGCTGAAAGACTTGTCGCTACAACTTGCTGTGAGGATATGCCCGTTGGTTGCGACATATATGGTTCTGTAGCCTCTACCGTCGGGAGCAGAAGAGACGGTGGACCAAACTATTGAATAGTTTCCCAAACGGCCACGGCCCCAGTGCTCGAAGATGATAGCATCCTGGAAAGGGTGGGCTCCCCAATTCTAAGACGAATATTAGCCAAATTACAAAGGGTGCGGATGAGGTAAGAAGACTCACGTGGTCATGGTATGCACTTCCGTTAAACTGAAATTTCTCGCCATTCACTTCGAAATCAACTTCTCCAGCGGCATCGGGTATAGCATTTGACCAGCCAACGTTTGGCGCCACCATCATCCGCTGCCCGGCCTGTGCTTTGCCGCATGCATAGCTTCGAAAACATTAGGGATTGTTTGACCAGTGACGAAATTAATGGAAATACATACTGAGCAGGAGCCAAAGATTTCAAGTGAAAAGTCCCCACGACGCCCGACTCTGGAGCGTCGATCTCTACTGCATATGAAGACAGATCAAATGTACCGGTCCATTTAGCACCAGCATTTTCGAAAACAGCAGAAGCCCCTTGACCAACTGTTGTGATGACAGCCTCGTCGGCTTTCAGCATAATAGAGTTTGTGGTCCCATTCGGAAACAAGAAGTCTATTCCAACGACTGTAACATCAGGGGTTGGATCGATGAAGCCGAATCCGGACGCCAGGGCTGTGTAGAAGACGATGGTGATGGAGGACAAACGATCGGTGGATACGGCATCAAAGTACCACCATTCGTAAGAGGAGTCGTTTACCGCTGATAGCTGAGGACCGTCCAGGTTACCATGCTTTGAGATGGTATTGGCATTGACATTTCCTGAAAATGGTTTGGACGGAACGGTCTGCGTGTGGCCCCTGGGCTCGAGTATGTTGGTGTGGAGAGCAGAGACAACGAGTGTCTGGAGCAGCCAATAGATTCCGAGACGTTTCATTCTGTCGAAAGCGGAGAAAGAAAACGAGAGAGGGGTGATCCTAGTTGAGACGACAAAGAGAATTCGCGTTGCCTGAAGAAGTTGGTCAAATGTGACACCGAAGAGGAAGACCACTGAGAGTCTGCTGGAGCTTGAACTTCAATCCCTTGTTGACAAATTAGCATCCAATTAATGGACAGAGACAAACAAAGGACATGAAGGCAAATCAGGTGGTTGATGGCATTGTTGACCCCGAGACGGTTCGAGTTGTGGAAGGGAAGAAGTTTGGACGAGAACAAACGAAGGCAGATTGGACGATATCGGAGCCTCGCTTAAAACCGTCATTGAAGAGGGACACTGTTGGAATGGAGATTTATTGACAATAGCGGCTGGCCCTTCAAATCAAGGACTTGGGGGCATATATATACATGGTAGCGTGATTTGTCAAGTAATGCCCATATGACAAATCAGCTGACGTGCAGTCTTGCAGAAAAGGAGAAATGGGTAAGCTGACGTCCCGTGACGTCACTTTCAATAGACGATTTCCTATCTTTGCTCGACAGATGGGAAAGATTCACCGTTATTCGCATCAATCACTTGTTCCGATGTCGCTGCAAGAAAATTTCTTAAAGAGGCTCCTGTTGGGATAACAAGTGAGCAATCTGATCCGAGATGCCAGACCTTCACCAGCAAGTGCTCTCCCCTCGCCTTCGAGCTTTCATCGAGCTTTCAAGGGAGCTCATTCAATAAATGATGTGAATTACCGTACATTCTTAAAGGGGGATCTCTCATCCAAAGCCGCTTAGGTAATTGTTTCATATATAACCCAATTTGGCGAGGTATGTTTTCTGGGATGAACCATTCGTTTCTCAGTACCAGTAAATGCCAATTCGATTTCTTTTACTACTGATTATACAAAAAGGATTGTGAATAGATGGAAGTTCAAGGGAGTTCTAAGAACAAGTCCAGCCTCACGGAAAGGGGTGGCCATGGGATCTGACTGGCTGGCGAAGCGAGAGCGATCAGCCTGACTGGAGAGCCTTGACAACATGCACCATAACTTCTTGATAGGATCTCCCAGATGGCATGTATGATTTCAATTCAACCTCTTCACCTTGTGCCAGGCCGAATAGACCTCGAATATATCTCCGGGGTGCCATCCACTACATACCATCCGTCGGCTCGAATCCTACGTCATATCCTCGGTCCGAAGTGTCCAGGTACTCAGCCTTGTCCTGCCCACAACAATTTCATTCGGCTACGGCCTCAAAGAGATCCTCGGAGTCTCTAGGCTAGCCTCTCGAGTGGCTTCCGACTGTCGGGGAGCCTGCGGGGAGCACGATGTGTCGACCAGAGATGTTGCGGGCCTGCATGCAGTGCTCCGCCGATTAGAGGACCAAGCCACAAAGCCAGAGTCACTTCTGGGTCGACAAGATGACTCCCAAAAAAAGACCTAAGCATGTCATCGAGGGTTGCAGCAAGGTCCTTTCAATACTCGACAATATCCTCAAGAAATACCATGCATTGAGCGAGGACAAGAGGGCGGAGAAGCGGCTTTGGACCAAGATCAAATTTTGGAACGGAGAGATGCAGGACTTGAGCGAACTTCGAGTCAAGATATCGACGTAGACTTCTGCAATCACTCCGCAATTGAATCTGATTTCAATGAGTTCTCAAGGACGAGTCGAACGGGAGATCCGCAATGCTCTGCCGGAAATTCGAGAATCACTCAACTGGATTACTGCGAAATTATCCGCCGGTAACGAAGGGTCTATACTTACTTCTTACAGTGGGGACGATAAAGGGGTTTGGAAAGAGCTTCGGAGAGAACTCATTCTTGAAGGCTTCGCAAGTCCTCACATCAGTCAGCACAAGGCCATGATCATGGACTATTTCAGGGAACTTGGAGAAAGAGGGCTTCTAGATGATCCAGGACAACTTGATATTGTAGATGGTAATTTGGATGTTGGACAAGCTTCGGATGAAAAGCAGGAAACCATTGAAGAGCTTGGTGAGAGTAGTAGAGCTACGGGTGCTCCTGCACCATCCGATGTCGAGAGTGTCAATAGGCCTGCCGTTTTTAGAGCAGCGGATGGCCTTCATGTCCGCGATATCAATGTCGAAAGGGATTTTCTTATTAGGTTGGTGAGGAGGGAGGAAGGCGCAGGGAAAATTTTTCTGCAGCCAGTGAGAAATGAAAATCGAGTTTCAGACAAAGCAATAGATATCGACCCGCCTTTCCGAGAAAATCAGGACAAACGCGATGGCTTTTCGAATGAAGAAGTGACAACCAAACGTTCTTGGGAGGAAATGCAAGACCAGGAATCCTATATTTCAGATTATGAAGTTGGTATTTGTGAGACTGCTATAGGTACCAGTGCGAAGTCTGAGTTTCTGAAGAAGTGGAAGACGAAAATCCCTGCCAGCAAAAAGCCAATCGTAGACTTGGGGTAGCGATTTCAAGAAGAGGTAATAAACTCCACTGTCTACTATTAGGTATTACTGAGTTTTCTAGGATCCAGAACAAGCCGCCATTTTTGTGTCAAGAGAGGACCAATAACCACGGACAGAACTTTGTAAGGAGGTAGAAATAAGAGTCAATGCAAGAAGCATATCCGAGACAATTTGGCGCACATCGGGAAGAGATCTGGGGATGAAGGGCCTCTCCGATAAAGTTGCTGACCTGGCGGGGCGTTTGAGGGTCAAGTAATTTGGAACTTTGAGATCCCAAGTAGGTTACTGGTGGTTTAACTTGGATGAAAGAGTCCATTGCAATGAGGGGCATGGAAACCTACAAGGAATGTCTTCCGGACTTTCAGGAGATGTCTGACAGTGGGCTTGTATATCTTATCTCCGATCATTATCCATTTTTGAAAGCATCCGTCTCGCGCCCAGCACAGCTGGCCGAGCCCGCCTCCAATTCTCAAGTCAAGTCCTCAACCCGAAAGAAAGTCCAAAATCTTCCCAAATTCTCCTCCCATAACTCCCGGTTTCCCACCCCTCCCCACTTGACCTCTCGTGGGTTGTTTTCCCCTCGCCCATCACGCCTCAGAAAAACTCTGATTCATCTTCCTCTTCTGCATCGGCACTCCCGCATTGCCCCCCATCTCCTCAACAGGGATCTTCAACACCCTCTCATCAACCCTATTGATCTCTCTCCCCTTGGCCCACATCGCGGCAGCAACGGTACTCCCAACAACCAAAGACACAACCGCCAACGCAATGCTGGTTGCCTTGAGTCCCACTAGCATCCCATCACTGCCAGTCACCCACATCGGAACGCCAATAATCCAGATCCCGACAAGGAACTCAACCCAAATCTTTGACGCGTTCTCGAGCTCCGTTGCGAGAGGAGAAGCGGGCGCCGATGTTGATGAGAGGTGCGAAAGGCCCGAATAGTATAGCACGAGGGCGCCGGCGACCAGGAGCCCGAAGAGTGCAGACGTGGCGTTGAGGTTGAGGTCCGCACCTGAGACAACGAGCGTGAATGTTTGGTTCGCATTCACTGTTCGCGGAAGCAGATTTCCCACGGTGTATAAGCCGAAGGAAAGGAGCCCAGTAACGCCGAGCAGCATGCCGAAGAGTGATGTTGATAGCTCGCGGGATTCGGAAAGGTGGTTCGGGGGCTTGGAGCGCAGGTAGGAGATGTAGGTTGTTATGGAGTAGATTATCAGAGAGAAGAGGAGTGGTAGGATGAAGAGGAATCCCATGTGAGAAGGGAAGAGGAATGTGGGCATTGCGGAGAAGAGGAGGGAGACTGTGTTGGCGATGCCGAAGGCTGTTCCGAGCATAGGCGCGGTGAGAAGCGCTGTGAGAATGGCGCTTGGTGCGACAAGGGCACGGACAGGGCGCACCGCAGCGTTAAGAGTGAAAGGCTTGGTGCTGTGAGGGGTCGTGATGCGGAGTGTTGAGAGGTAGCTTCTGAAGGATGAGACGTTGTGGCTGGATACTGGAGGGGTGTGAGGGGCAGACGAGCGGTCGAATGTCGTTTCTGGAGTGATAAAAATGAGGAACACGATGGAGAATGCTTGCATGATGTTGATGACCATAACTTGATTCCTGAAGCCTTGAGTATTTTGGGACATATATCCACCGAGGATAGGGAAACCCCAGGTCGAAAGAATTGTCACGGCGTTGACGATGTTCATTCGGGTCCTTCGTTGATGCACCTTTGCAGGTCAGCCAGAAATTCAACGTGGGGGGGCCACTGATGCATACGAAATACATATCGGAAATAGACCCCGCCACCAAAGCTTCAAATGTACCCCACCCCAGGCCTTGAAGAATCCGACTGATCATGAACGCTGGGTAACTAGCTATGATATGCATATTCCAGACCATGGCAAGCAATACAGTGGTAGCGCTCACGAGGTAGAGTCCCCTCTTCCCAAAAAACCGACTCAGAACATGGCATTTCAATGCAGCAACCCCTCCAAATATGTATGGTACACCAGTTAGTGCTGCTGCTGCTGGATATGTGACGTTGAGTTCCACAGCGATCACTGCATTGACTGTGACAAACATCGTTTTTGAGGGGCATATGAGTGCCAGGCCGAAGATTACCGAGGTAAAGGTCCATTCTTTCTTCGCCCTTGACCAGTTCTGCACCCATCGTTAGCACTCGGCGCCCTCGAGTTGCGGCCCATTGAACGTACCAGTGGATCTACCGGCATGGAGCTTGGTTGCGGAATCAATTCTATCCCTCCGGGTGCAAACTTTGTCGGCGTCCTCTTTGCACTTCCACTTCTCTCACTCCTTGCACCAAGGTTCGCTGTACTTCCTGCACCTGGCACGACCGTCCCATTCTTAATATGGCTTCTCTGTGGCGATGTTGGCGACATCGACTCCATCTTGCTCAGTTCCCTCTCAACTCGATCCATCCTGCCTCAATTGATCCCACAATTAAATTCGTGTCTGTTCCGGACAGGTTCTTCCAAGCAGCAGAATATCCTCCAAAATTAAGAAATGCTACGTCGATCATCAATATCGCAAGAATCGAAGTGAAGAAAATAAACAGTGAAGGTACAGAAGGAAGAAGGAACGGAGGTCAGCTCGCTGAGCATGAACAAGACAGAAAGAACAAAGCAGATTAAAATTGAGGGCGGAGAGAGAAATCTACATGTCACCGCATGAGGCGCGAGACCACTCGAGACATCAAGCTGCGTATATCAGGCGCCGTCCTCATGCGGCACCCGGTACCAAAGAGGCAACCCAACGAACCAGCAGCCTTTCTCCGCTAACCCCATGGCAAGGCCAGATGTGGACAAGACATAATAGGCTCCTTCCTTCCAAGACAAAATCGGATGGCAGATCTAGGAATCTGCACTAGGCTCTGCAGCCTTGACGACTCTCCTCAGTCCACTTGCATGAGAAATCGTCCGAAGATCTGCTTCCGGAACGTCTGCCCGCCCTATCATTTCCATCCGAGGGAGTCATCCTTCCAATCAAGACCGTAGATCCTGGCTAGGAGTCGGCTTTTGGCAATGCATGAGAGGCAATGCAAATCGTGAAACGTGGGCGAGGCAGGAGCTGTCGTCGAGATGTTTCAACCGCCTGCTCAACCCCTGCCAGTGCTGGGTCTGGAGTTCGCTTCACAGCGGAGGGGCCTTTCAAGATTGAGAGTCAATGAAGGGCTGGGATGGTGTCTTGATTGGAGAAGGGGAGGTCGGCTCCTGGGGCGAGATCGTTGAAAACGGCCTTCACGTGATTTCAGTCACGTGATAGCAGCGCTGCTCACCGCCTCCCAGAACGGCATCATTTCTTTCGACCGCACGCGCAGACACATCCCGTCCTCCTCTACCTCGACCTGAAGCGATACGTCTGTGTTAAGCGAACTTTCGGGGTACCAATGCAGCAAGTACCATAACCATGTCAACAGCGTAGCCTTGTGATCTAGAGAACTGCGAGAAAATCGATGGAATCAGGAGGGGATGTAAGGGTGTGGATTGAGTCCTGTGAGGAGAACTAGCTAAGTAGACTCTGAAGCCTGACAAGGCAACCACGCATCACTAAGACTACTTCCAATTTCGCTCCTTCCACGCTGCGCCATGTCATTTTCCAGTTTGAGAACACTGGACTTCTACTGCGAAGTCACTTCAAAAAATCTCTATTCCCTTTTCAAGTTTCCACTACTGGACAAGGATTCCGCTCCACCATTCGCTTTTGAGGTATGCCTGAACCTATGCAAAAGCTCAGGATACCCTGAGAGACGGCTGAGAATGAGTCTCACTAACCTGCATTGGTCTGTCAATGATGCCTGTCCAAGCTGCAGAATCATCTGTGAAGGCCTCCAGACCTGCGATCTATGTGACGAGAGGGCCGTCATCGCATTGTCCGAGTTGGGTGTTAGTTACGCAGCTGTTGCAGTCACTAACCGTCCCGTCGACCCGGCCGACAACACAGCTGGTAACTTAGCGGGTCTTTGCCCGAACCGACAATGTTTGATTTTTTTTCGCACCCCAGGCAAGCAATTGTGTGTTGAGGATATTGTTCGCAATATACGCGTATTCCATATTACAAATTTCATTATTGCGCGATTCGTGCTATAACACACGTTTATAATACTATTACTTGTCAATTTCAGAAATAAACAACCCCGGTGCCCAAGATCTCTCTCGTGTACCCATACATCACTTGACATGTGAAGATACAGGCTCGCTGTTGGCTTTTCAGACAATCTCTAAATGGGTAGAGGACTGTGCCATGAATCCTGCCACCCGATACCTCCACTGATGGAGAGAGCCTGGGTCTACCAAGAAAGGCTATTGTCTACGCGTGGTTTGCACTTCACTGCTGACGAATTATTTTGGGAGTGTAACGGGGGTTCTTGCTGCGAATATCACCCCGAGCTTGTAACAGAGTCCTAGTAGGAGTTTATGCCAGACAACGGCTTTTCACCCATCTAAACGCAGCGCTTTGTCACCCCCAGACCCTGATCAGAGCTCACTGAGCTTCTTTCGGTGGCATCGGGTAGTGGGAGAGTACTCCAGGCTCCGATTGACTTATCCCCGAGACAAGCTTCCGGACCTCGCAGGAATAACCACACCGATGTCCCATCAAACAGGATACTGCTACACGTATGCGCTGTGGAGCGAGACCATCGCCATAGACCTATTATCAGGTCAGACCCATAAAATGGGACGGAAACAGCCACCCAACGTCTTTGCCGCCATGTGGCGGTTGGGCTGGAGAGGACATTTCGGGGGAACTAGAGCAGGTGGAAGAGGGCTGCTGTGTCGACTTGGGGTGATAAAAACCGTGTACGAAGTGGCCACATCGTGTTGGTAATTTGAGATCTCTGCAGAGTTGGGAAGGAGAAAGAGCAGTGGAAAGATTGGAAATATTTTATTGAGCACAAACACCAACCATTTTCTCAGATACCTATGGGTTACCCCTCACTAGCAAAATCAAATGCAACGCTTTGGAAAGAGAAGGCTACAGTTTCAGTCGACCCACGCCCCTGGTACTTTTGGACCTTTCCCAATTCCTTGCGCCCTTCGCAACTTCTCAACCTTCTTGAGCCAGCGACGCTCGAAGCGGTCGTCAAATATTTTGATAAGAGTCCTCGTCTCCTCAGAAGTTGTAGACCATTTTAGCGCCGGCTGGAGATATTGCCATCGAGGGTAGCGATAAGGCCAGTTGAACATCCTCTCAGGGTATTCGTAATCGTATGAAAGGTCCTGCCCCATCGGCCCTAGGTTTCTGAATTCGTGGAGCACCTCAGAAACATGCCCTTCAGGATCAATGTACCAATCCCAGGATACTCTTGGGCTACTTTCCGAAAAGATCGTGTAACGGCCTCGGCAACAATAGAAATTGTCAGAAGTCCCCAGATGTAGGGTGATCAGCGGTGTTGACCCGTCATACTGGTAGAGACGTTCGGTTCGTAAGTAATTTTCGATGTCAAGGCCAGAACTTTCGAGAATGGCCAGCCATTCCTCCCCCACATCCTCAGACTCAAACGGAGATTCGGCTATATCCATGATTTGATCAAGCATTGTTCCATTCTCGACCATGGGGAATGAATGCAGATCGGGCCCTAGGGCAAGGAGTTGATGGATTAATTGCTCCCAATTACAGCGAAACTCTGGAGTTGATTTCCATAGCATTCGCATGGCTGTGGATATTGGCGAAATATCAAATGCATCTAAGGTGATGGGAGCAATCAATCCGTGCACGATACTGTTGAACGCTTCGAATGTGATCTCTAAATGGGGATCACTGAAAATGCCTTTAAAGAATGCCTTGTCATCAAAATATTCACATCGTACTGTGAATAACGAATATATATCCAGCAACTCTGATGCGTTGTCTAAGGAGACTAGTGGACCGAGCCAAGGTGGGCTACACAATTCCAGTCAGGATTTATTCAAAAAGTAATTCGAGGGTCGTGAAATAATGAAGAGATCACATGCCTGCCATTGACGGTTACCTCTTGGCCATTGAGACCTAGGTTGAATAGAAATTCACAAATCTTTATTTGAAAACAGGCTGATGCAATCTGCGACCGTCAGATCTTGTATGTGTGTTTGAGGGTAGTTCTTTGACCTACATGAAGAAGTGTAGTGCCATCCGTGTCGACACTAAAAGGGGATACCTGGCGACTACTAAGTAGAGTCTGGACACCTTCCAAATCACCACACCTGCACATCCTCCAGATTGGGTGATTGTTTGGAATGAGTGAATAAATCCTGAGCGCCCCCCGAATAAAGCCACTAGTGCTCATGGATTGGTATTCGAAACAACGGGAAAGGAACGACGGCATAAAGGCCCAACTACTTTCGGTAGTAGTAGAACAGGTTTCTGTAGCTGACCGCAGCTTCGCATCGCAGAAACTCGTCACTTGTGATACCCTTCGAATAAGGAGTTTGCCAAATATACTGGTATAGTATCGGCATACCACTGATTGCTTCCTGATGACCCTGGACCTCGTCGATCTTTTCTGAACAATGGCACACTGCTCTTTGGAAGTCTCCTTAGGCTTTCTTGTTAGATTACTACGGAGAAGGGCCAGATCATGCCTGATCGTGTTCGTGGTTTGATTTGAAGCCAAGAGCTGGTTGTGGAGTTGTCCCATGCCCTCTGAATGAACGAACCTCAGAATTCTTAGCAAAACCGTCAAGTGAAATAAGAGTCTTCTACATACGTCAAATTCGCCATCATACTCAAACTCAACAAGTTCGCAGCATTATGCAGCTGACTCTCTATCTCTCGAAGATCCTTCTTCTTGCAAGCCAATTTGAAGGACCCCAACGCTCTCGTTGTCCGATTAGACGCGGCAAAAGCTTTCTTCGTAGCCTCAACGACACCTTCAAGCATAGCCAACTTGATTTGGCAGCTATTAGCTGCCTTCAACACGCTCGTCAATACACCAGTCTCCCACAGTGTCGAATTTCTTCGCTGGCTCTGAACCAGGATGCCGACCTGTTCAAGAATAAGCTCGAGTTCTTCCAACAAATCCATCAACCTCCTCAACTCCTCCGGGGCTTCCGATATACTGTGTAGAAATTGTCTGATCTGGCGCACAGAGCCAACGAGCTGTACCGCAAGGGACACGACTGCGAAGCCGCTGGCGGCAGCGCTCAACCCGTCCATATTTTCTTGCAGAGAAGTTCCTAGTGAGACAAGCTGGTGCCGTTGCTGTGATATAGAGATGGTAGGCACGATGGAATGAATCAAGAAAGGTGGCGATAGTGGGGACAAGGAGAGTTGCGAGGTTGAAATTCCTCCAGCCTTGCTGATCCATGGTGGGCCAATAGGAGCCGTGTCCCGTCTGCACAAAAACGCCTTGCGCTTTGCCTTGGGCCCACCGAGTGCGCAGACACACGTGTACCCACGGGTGCTTAATGGTTGTGTCCCGACACAAGCAGAATCTCTCTAGGCGTTCCCCGCGGCCTTTGAACGCAGCGACGAATTGATCACCCACAAATATTTGAGTTGTTGCAAGAGCTAGAGGATGGTTTGGGGGGCTTGTTGGTCTAGACACCATCTTCTGATATGTCCGGTCTATACCCAAACCGCCAAATAGACTGCACTCACAACACTCAGCCCAAGAATAGTCCACCCCCTCGACACAATCTGCTTCCTCGCAAACCCCCTCCCTGTATCCCAAAACAGATGTCCCACGCCATTGATACCATGAAAGGTAAATGGGAACGCCATCGCAAACTTCGCTGCAACCTTTGCAGCCACAGGCATTGACCCAAATGCTGCAACAATCGTAGCCGTGTCGAGATGCCATCCAAAGAGTGGGGAGACCAGGTACGCCGCGCCGAAGCAGTAGAACGCACCAGAGAGGACTGAGCCCGTTATTCGGTTGAAGGGAGAGTTGAAGTAGTTTATTTGCATGCGGTAGATTGCTAGATGGGGGGAGACGGGTCGTAGTTTGCGTTGTTCGGCGAGGATTTGTTGGGATTCTGCGGGCTTCATCGGCTGGGTGGTGAAAGGTCTGCAGATGTTTGGTTAACTGGGGGAGCTGGATGGTAAGGAGCAATTGGAATTGTAGAAAATAGTACGGGCATACTTGACATATTGAACGGCGGCTGTGGTTTGGGCAAGCCGCTTCAACGCCGTCTGGGGGACAGCACCCAGCCTGAGTCCCACCCCTTTCAATTGGTCAGAACAGCAGCATTGGTGATAGAAAACTTGCCTCGAGAACACCCAGCTGCCCATATATGTTTCGAAAACATCGTGAAATCTATTTTTTTTACATCTGTTGATATTTTGCGATCGAGATGTTGTTTGAACACTTCTCGAGGCACAATCAGATCTCCTCGGGTCTCGGGAAGAAGCGGGCGGAAAATGGAATGGCCCGCTTCTAAGCGAGTCTCCTACTTCAACCTCACATCACCTCTCCAACTAAAATCCTTATCCTCAACCTTCTTGAAAATTACTCAGTCTCACTTGAAGTACGAAATCACGATCGGTCTATGGTTAGACAGGGGTTTTTGCAAAACTGCTTGAACTTCGAGCATGTGGGAAAGCTGGAGCCATGACCCAGCTGGTCTTCGCCACTAGAAATTGCAAACTCGAGGCTTGTTTCAAGCTACCTGCGGGTTGCTTGCCCAAAGCACATTCCGTTCTCTGGGGACGTCATTCTTCATGCATCCAGATGCATGACACGAAAGGTCAGAGTCAAGCTTGATATTGCGATGTGTTCCCCATCGAGCCACTGTGGTCAACGCTAGGTAAGACACCAAAAAATCATTGGTTTCGAGGTTCAACCTTCCCCTTTTAGCCGCCCTTGCTCACTCAGCCCCGCGGAAAATCCAAATCCAAGGGCCAATTCGAGTAACGCATATATGCAAGATCAGAGCACGATTTTCAAATATTTCTCTATTGCAAATTTTCTGATGGGGTCTACCCGAAAGTACGGACGAACTCTCTTCGCCTTCTAAGAATGCAGAATGATTTCCACACAGACATCTTTCAGTTGCAGCGGTTGCTAAATTGAGTTCGAAAATAATGTCCTTCAAAGTGCCCACAACAAGGCCGGTCGATTGTAAGATGATGCCTAATTTCAGTTTTTGATACGGCACCGACAATGCAAGTTTTATAATTTGAAGAGGCGCGTGGCTTCATTGTCACCTCTCACTTCCGAAGTTTACAATGTACATGTTGCTAGTGCACAAGATAAATCAACATCTATGGATCTGACCAGCGATTCGGGAATTTCCAAGACATGCACGATACGTTAGAAGGCATACGATAGCGCCAAGACATATGAAAGCCACTTGAAACCTGAAGCCCGCGCCCAGGTGCTCGAAAAGCTTGGATCGAACAATGACCTAGATATCTCAATGGAAAATAAAACAGTGTCTCCGAATGGGGCAGAAATTAAACAACCATTTGAACCCTCAAGATGTCTCTTTTGCACAATCAATTCTTCAACCGTAGAGCTGAATGTCAAAAATAGGGGGGAAAATCACGGTTCTTTCATTCCAGATCAAGATGATCTCTCTCGAACAGACATCGCAATCTCAATCCCGACGCCGAGTCTGAGTATGAAGATTTCTATGATGTCGAGTGGGACGTAGACGCAGACTCCGATGCAGAGAACGAAGTCAGAGAAAAGTCTCTCGAGGTTCTTGTTCACATTGGCAACGAGCTCCATCTCCCCTTGGGACGGATGTTGGGTCATCGGTCTCAGGCCCGTTGTTACAGTGAGTACCACATCAGAATTTTGACATGTGTATCCCCCATTTCCGTCTGCGGACCTGGGCAACTGCTGCTTTAGCCTGAGCCAGGCTGGGCAAGTGAGCCATGAAACGAGTGGAAGGCAACCCGTTTGAGCTCCTCGGCTACGACTGCCACCTGCTCAAATTAGAAGGTTCTGGACCCCGGTGAACAACGGCCGCACGAAACGAAACTACCGACTATGAACTTCACGAATTCAACTTTATTGTACAAATACATGGCATTAATCTGTCAAGTACTAATTCAATTCTCTTTACTAGGAGAGGTCGCTCTCAAAGATGGGCCGTATTCTAGCTGATTATATGTAAATAGGATGATTCGGCAAAAATTCTTCAGGTTCAAGCTGTTTATTTGGGCGATAAGTAGCCCTAGGTCTATTCTATCTGTTCCGGTGCACATAGGAGAGTCTTAGTGGAGCCAAATTATGTTTATATTGGCTTAATTAAGAATGTAATCTCACATATTAATATTTACTATCGCGCGCATGTGTCATTAGATACCTTGAAATCTCGAAACCAACTTGAAAGGATAGTAGAGTAAAGAAAAGGACAAGAAATTTTATTTATTCACCACGTGTGAGTTAAAGCTCTACATGGTAGGGTTATATGTCAAGTGGGCAAGAAGTGACCTAAGTGAGAGGCCTGTTCCAGGACGGCGTAAACAATATCTATTATCCTGAATCACCAATCACTTTCTCTGGCCTCGTACGATGCTTGAAGACTTAGATAATTTTCAGAACACGGTGGCCCTGGCGGTTGAAAAAGGCCGAGCCACCTCTCTCGACTGGCCAAGAACTGAATATTCCGACGCGAAGATATAACCCTGGTTGCTTTGCTGGATGCAAGATAAGCCCGAATGCAAAGCGGGTAGACTCTGACCACACTTCACCAAGCTTACCATTCTTTCCACTTATTTTCTTCGTACTAACACAGCTGCCGAGTAACACCATCAGAATACCATCTACACATTCACTCTGAGGTCAAGAGTCCAATCCAAAGAGCAATATGCTATGCACTGACCACGCACACTAGCTCTCCATCGTTTTTGTATCATGTCCTTGTCTTCCATCAAGCTCAAGTTTGATGGCAGTGAGCAAACAGGTCCACTGATGCGCAAATGGCCGTTGCTCACTTCTCCAAAAGGGTTCAATGCTGGTGGCGTGGTCCAAGCATCGAGAGTCGTATATTCTGGGCGAAAATCTCGGAAACCTTCTGTATAGCCAGTATCAAAATCTTTCTGTCCGAAATGGGCAAACGTATCTCGGCTAGCCCAACTCCAAGATGGTGCAATGTACGAGCCGGGAGAATCAAAGCTATCCAGCAAAGAGAATTTCGCCGTAGTAACAACATTGTTGCGTGAGACACATTCCCAGAGCAGTCCAGCTAGGAGATCATCCTTCCACAATCCTGCCAGATAGTCACATATGTTTCTGACTGCTGCTGACCTTGCCAGTCCCGAAAGCGCCGGCAACTTATCCGTTCTTCTGGTTAATTCACGTTCTGAATACTCGCTCGCCACATCCCGCCTCCACTTCTCATGCCATTTTTGGCCATGAGGTTCGACCAAGACCTCACCAATATCAACATCAATTCCGCAGCCATCATATTCGTCTCCACCCTCCGAGACGACCTTGCTTGAGCGAAGGAAATGAATCTTCGACTGTCCAAACATTATGAGTCTTGTAGAGAGTGATAGCTCTTGAAACGTCCACCCTCGCCGATCCCATGTTGCCAAATCTAGATCAATTCGTAAAGGCCACCACGTGTCTTTATTTGGAGAACGAATTCCCCTATGCCGCAGTGTATATATTCCTTCTATATCATCTGCAATACTGGACTTAAAACTTGTATTTAAAGTCTCTGTGGTCCTCGCCAGAAACCCCTGCTGGCATGTTTGGGAAGCTATAGGGCAGATCGTGAGAAATGCGTGACGATAGATGTCTCCCATTGACAATGCCTCTGTCTCCCAATCCGCTTGGTCATCCTGGATGATACACACTGCGTCGACCCAAAGGAATCTGAGCTGAAGAAATCTAGCAACCGTAATGAGATCTTGGATAACCTTAGAGCATGAGTGAAATGGAATCCCTGACATCATATCTGCTAGCGAGTGTCGCTTTGTCTTGGTTTGCGTGGCGGCTACTTCTGGCGGCCCCCAGCAATAACTGAAGGCTGCATATTTGAAACGCTCTAGATCTTGGCCACTAAACCGACTCAGTAGCTTCTCTCTGGTTGTAAGACACAGCTTAGAGTTCCTTGGATCGTCGCCGATGTCGATTAATCGACTTAGAATAAATAGCACCGGCTCCCGGCGCGAAAGCGGAATCAGTTCCCTAGTGATCATTTGTAAATTCTCCTCGCACAATGGCTTTGGTCCCGGTGATGCTTCAAGCCTCAGCCAATTCGAAATGCGAGTTTAAAGTTGTAGGAAGTGTTAGTCATAGCGAACTCGATTCAAGGGGATCAAAATACGAACGTCAGGGGGAGCATCAACTGTAAACAAGAGAGTAGTATGTCCTCCATATTCTAATAGATTTAGCTGTATCCGATATCGCTTTAATGGGCTTTACCTTTGCTTGAGGGATAAAGGTTCAGATGAACTACCAAACCCGCAAGCCCCCTTTTGAGAGGATAAGCAGACGGCATCCAACGATATTCCATCTCAATTTCTAGCCATTCAACATTATCGAGCTGACAATTGAAAATTGCTGTCCTCAAAAGGCCACAGAATTTGCACCCTCTCTTAGAAAATTCTCCAAGTGCACGCAAATCAGGTAGTTCATCTACCAGAAAGTAGTCTAGATAGAAATTCCTCGTCCTGTCATCTTGGTTGAACTTTAAGCACGTCTTGCCTCTAGAAGATCTTCCCTCATACCCTCCGAGAGCCGCGTCATCGAATCTCAAGACTTGGCATTTGGGGCACAACGTAATTGAGGATGAAGGCATAGTACAGATTGTTGAAACTGCCGCAGGTGGGACTGGTTTAACGTTTCGTAGACGATGTTGCATATGCAGACTGAATGAATATTCTCATGGGTTCAGAGCCGGGCTTGAAGTAGGGAGAAGGCGAGACTGGATCGGTGTGGAAGACGAGAAATGTGTAGCAAGCCATGAAAAGACTTCAAAAATGCCAATATCCATAGCCTTACGCTTCTGCCTTAACATTAGTCACGTGAAATAACCCTTTTGCCAACCCCCAAACCACCCAACCGACCATATCTATTCTCACCACAACGACATGAAATGATAGGAAATAAGTTAATATTCGGGATCTCCGGCCCATTTATAGCAAATCCGGGAATTTTTCGGAGATTTTCTAAGCCAATTTTTTTGGGGGTGTTCCTCGTGGCGATTGGCTAGTAAACCTTCCTAATGTGTGACAATGGGATTCACGTGATCTCCTTTATCAGGCTTAGCTCAAGATGAATTGGGATTACTAATTGGATTTATCTGATATTCTCCGAAAAAGCAAGAGAGCTTGTGCGGAAACCCTCTTATTTATTGGAACTAAGATAGACCTGCTCCTTTGAAATATGGCTGCGAAAAAGAGAGAGATCCCCGGAAATTATATAAACCAAGTAATAAACAAGTGATTCACATCTAACAAACATGCGATTTCCTAGTCTACCAGTAAGGCACTAAGTTAAAAAAAAATAAGGCAAATAAGAATAATCATTTAGAGATATATAATAGTAATGGAATTCTGACCCTTACTAAGCGAAAGGTGTTCATTTCGGGCGCCCTTCTATAAAGTTAACGGTTTCTAACAAAATACATTAATAGGATGAGCAAACCTGAGCCGTGGCTGAGCCAGCCTGAGCAAAGGCGGCGCTGGTTAGGTGAAATATAGGGTTAGGAAGAGCAAACATTCAGGTGGGGGAACAAGCAGAGCCAAACCACGATCACCAGAGCAGCAGAGCGGAAAGCTATTGAGGGCAACCCCGGGACAAGTCGAGCTATTGGGGTTACGAGTAAACAAGTGGCAACAAGAAAATTGCATATGGGGATGATAGGTATGTCGGAGTGGAAGAGGAGAGCCTAGGCTTGTAGGAGAAAAAATACTGAAAAGGCAGGTAAGGGCGCAGAATCAGTATCAGGCTGCGCTAGAGAGGGGTGCTAATAAGCAGCAATTCTTCAAGGTGAGTGGCTTCAAATCTTGGCAGCTACTCCCTCGGCTTCGCCAATGATGAGCTGTAGCCTGATGTTTTAGGGCCACTTAATGGATGATAAAGATGTTCTCTGAATATTGCATCTTTTCTTGGGGACTTGACTACGATTCTCTACCAAGCCTCAGCGTTGTGTCTTCTAGATATCGTACCCGTTAATCTTAAGTCGTGGCAAATGGCTTCAGCTGAGGGCATACTACGGTTCTCAGGCGCATCTCTTAATATCCAACTGAGTTCATGAAGACCAGCAGCAAAGAGTGCGGAAAACAAGGGGTGGGATTTTCACCTAGAGTCCGGAAGGGTTGAGAAGAAGTGTGCAAGGTGCGAATTTTGTACAGTAATCTGGTGCAGAGAATATGAAGACTGACTTGCATTGGACTTTGAATAAGTATAGCTGATGTAAACTCATACTGCATAAGAAGCTCCGAGTGCGCCAATAGGCGTGGAAACTTGCATCCCGCCCCGATCCGGAAAAACATCCCCCACGCCCAAATCTATCGAATCCTAAACACGCTCAAATCTTCCTTCTGAGCGCTCCGAACAACTTCACCGTCCATAATCCCATGAACGTACGCCTCGCCCACAAGCTCAAGATACCCGTCTTCTCGTCGGTTTAGAATGAACGGGACATTTCCACCCCGGAGTACACAGACCAAATGGCCTGGTGTAGCTTGACGAGGTACCAGAGCCAGATATCCTTTCTGTGTGGTGGCAAACGATCTGTACAGACACCGTGTGATAGCAGCATCGCTGTAAGGCCGAATGTACGCCTCATCGCCAGGTCTTTCTCCCCTTCCCATCCAAGCCTCAAATCGACCCGCGAAGTCATTGCCCGGTGGGCGCTTGGGTGGATAATTGGTGTCCCGATCTGTGACCAACGTGCGCCAAAATGCCTCAGCACGACCAGATGGACACGGATATGGATTGAATTCGTTCCGCAAGTCATTTCGAATATTGAATTCCCATTCCTTTGCAGCAGTAATAAGCTCATTCTTTCGAAGTGTTTTAACGCGCCGGTCCTCCTCTAGATCGGGCCCAGTATAGAAGTCAACCCAGGGAGGCGGATAGACAGATTTGATTGTGTCCACAATGAGGCCTGGGACCAGTAGAGCCTCAAGAGTATTCTCGTCTTCAAATTGTATCCGAAGGGAGTTCAAATCATCACCGCCATTTTCTTCGCCATGAAGGCGAAGACAGTGAAATGAAGGGAGGCCAAGAGCTGTCCAAGCGGCGTTATTTGCACCGGCGGTGAATGGTGTACAGCCCTCTATATTTGGTATTATAAGGTGTTCCTCGTCATCGTCCGTGGTATAATCGGGTACCCAAGATGGAAGAGCTTGCAGCTTATTCGTTTGGTGGGTCTGAAGCACAAGTAGTGGACCAACGGCTTCATATCGGAGTAGCATGTATCCTGCCACCCGTGTAAGGAGACAGCGAACGCAGATATGATAATTTACCTTGACTACCCGCCGATCAACTTCCAGACACACACTTAAGATACCGTACACTTTATCCACGGGTAAAAAGCACAGCGCTTTTCCAGTTGTAGTGATCATCTCGAAAATAGGTATGCCTCCTTGCGAAAGTTGTTCTTTCAGTCTGCTCCAGTCCCAGAGCGCAAGACTAAATGGTGATGATAGATTGTATTACATTGGGGCTAGTCGTGTATCTGGAAGCCTCCTATATTTCATGTGGACTCTCTTCAAGTAAACGAAACAGTCAAAATCCACGCTCTGTTGACCACAATTGAAGGTTGCTTTCCTCGCAAGAAGGGCCTCTTGCACAACCCACAACCTCTCAAACCACGGTCGATTCCATAGTAATTTGATGGCGTGCCATGTATCTGGGTGTGGCTTATACTGAGGGTCGTCAAAATCAACTGCTCGAATGTTCCGAATGTAGTCCATGGCGGCGTCGCTATTGTCACCTGCGTTTCCAAGCCAAATCCAAACATCTGTTGCTAGAAACCTATTACTGAAGTTCTCTCCTTTAGTCGACTAACCCATACCTTTTGAATAGATCCCCCCCATCATGCCCACCTGGACTGATTTCTCAGCAAGGTCTTGCTGGTTGATGCAAATAGCATCTGCCCAGACCACCATATTCTGATGCGTATGCCTCAACTGCCTCAAAGCATTTTCTAAATTCCTTGTAACTGGGATACTCTGCCCATTGGCCGTGATATTGATCCGATCATTCCCAGCGCCCCAACAGTATGATAATGCTGTGTAGCGAGCATTGTCGAGGAAATCTGGCTGAAGCGAACACCTGAGCGGCTCATTTTCGAGCCCGGGGAGGATATTGAGAAGCCTTATCTCCTTCTCTACTGAAGTAAATGGAGTGTAGATGTTATCAAGATGCTCGTTGAATGGCGCTGGTGGAAATGCTTCTTCCAGCCTGTTCCTTTTGCATTGGGGGCACACTTTCTCCACAAACTTCCTTTGACCCAAAGCTTCCGCCATTAATCCTCGGCGAGAGAAATGTGCCGAAACAGGAGAGGTTTACGAAATGCGTTCAAGTTGGAGAGAAGAGTGTATTAGCCATAAATCAAGCCATGTTATGTTTCCTTCTCAAACCAATCACTCTCATTCAGCGACATCAAACATCACGAGTTGTATGAGACAATTTCTGCAGGTATGGTGGTGACACGAACTAGGATGGCAGTGAGTTGAAAGCTCTAGCGGGCGCCAAGTTCCAGAAAAAGAAATTTCTTTTCCCATTCAGATCATCTGTAAAGTGTACCTTAGCGGACCAAGCTTACTGGACTGGAAAAATCCCCTCTTCGTAACGTTCAAGATGGGGATTGTCCGCTTGCTGCGGAGACTGGGCGTAAGATTCCACGCCATCATAGGTGGACAACCAACGCCTCTCGTTTGAGTCATCAGAATGGTGCAGACTAACTGACCTGAATGAGGCTATGAAAAGCGTTTTCAACAGTCACTGCACAGCAACTGCACCGGCCAACTTCATGAAAGCAACGTATGTATGCATCGCTAAAACTCATCGCTCTGCTCTAACGCATCTAGCCATCACCGTTTTGGGTACGCATCGCACCACTTACCACTCACCACTCACCACTCGCCTCCACCCCTTCTACTCCCCGTCAAATACCATCTCCTCCACTCGACCTCTAACTCTGCATCCCCTTCAACCCCAGTTCCTGGTAAAACGCATCACTACTTGGCTTCCGTCCCAAAAAGTCCTCCAGAGTCTTCATCTCTTCCTGAGATCCACCCTTCTCAAGCACCATATGTCTGTATCTCCGGCCCTCTTCCTTGTTCATTGGATCCTTCTTGAACACACTGTAGAACATATCCATTGAGTAGACCTGACTGCTAAGATACCCGTAGTAACCAGCATCATAACCACCGATTAGATGTCCGAATGTTGCTTGGCCGTTACCCCAGTCGGATTTCATGCCGAGGGATTTAGGTCCCTTGAGACCGGCGATCTGGGTGCGGAGGTCGTTATACAGCGCGGATAGCTCGAAGCCTTCGGCTTCCTCGTGGGTCTTAGGGGTGTGAATTGTCATGTCGAAGATTCCAAAGTGGAGTTGACGGAGGTTGAAGAGGGCATCATTGACGTGCTTGACGCTGATTTGCTTCTCGATTAAGTCATCAGGGATCTTGGCGCCGGAAAGGTAGTGGCTGGAGAGAGATTTGAGTTGTGAGGGGGTCCAGCACCAGTTTTCCAGCATTTGGCTGGGTGCTTCGACGAAATCGCGGACAACGGATGTTCCATGGAAGCGAGAATACTTTGTGCGGCCAGCAAGATCATGGATGCCGTGACCGAGTTCGTGGAAGAGAGTAACAACTTCGTCGTGTTTGAGAAGTGATGGTTTGGTTTCAGTTGGCTTTGAGAAGTTGCAGACAAGTGCAGTGGCAGGGTATCGACGGGTGCCGTTAGGCAAGATATATCCGGGTTGGAGAGAGAAGTTGGCCGCATGACCATATTTTCCAGGACGTGGATGAAGATCCAGGTAAAGATAGCCCACAAATCCGCCACCTTCGCCTTCATCATCCCATACACTGAAGATCTTGACATCCTCATGCCAAGAAATATCTTCTCCCTTTCCAGTTGCTGCATTCCGTTAGCATGATTGCCATAAAGAAGTGGCATTTACATACTTGAAAGCTTTGTGCGATCTTCACCCTCGATCTCAACGAATACAAATCCGAAGAGCTCTTCAAAAATATGCAGCATGCTCTCAATCGTAGATTGCAGAGGGAAATACTCAGCAACCTTCTGCTCATCAATCGAGAACTCCTTCTCCACCATCATGCGATTGTAAAATCGCGAGTCCCAGAGGTAATAATTTCCATCATCCTCAGTCTCCAGACCTCGGGACTTCAAATCTTCCTTCTTGATCTCCATCAAATGGTCGACCTCCTTCTTTCCACCAGGAGCAAGCTGAACCCTCAAATCACCAAGGAAGTCATTGACAGTTTTGGGGGTCTTGGCCATCTTGTCTTCGATGCGGAACGAGGCATGGTCTGGGTAGCCGAGGAGTCTGGCAGCTTCATCACGGAGGATGATAACTTCCTTGAAGAGAGGGACGTTTGAGTTGCACTGCATGGTATTAGCAGAAATCCAAACCATGTATCACATGCCACAACTGACCTTGTTCTCGTTCTCAATGAACACCTTCTGTCTCGTCTCCGAATCAAGTGCAAATTTCAATGTAGGGAACAAATCCGGGTACTTGAACGTAAACCGCAACTTGCCTTCATTATCTCCATTACCCTTCTCAAAAGTCTCCAAAACATCCGCAGGAACACCCTCCAATTCCTTTCTCGTGAACCAGATACTATTGTCCTCTTCATTCAGATTCTTCTGGAACTCGATTTGGATCTGTTCTCGTCAGCCCCAAATTCCCCCTACTCCAACAGGAACATCCCAGCATACCTGACTCAACCGCTTCTTAATCTCCTTAAACCGATCCCTCTTCGGCCCCTTCTCAATGCCCAGCCCATTCCGAAGATAACTCTTCCACTCCTTCTCCAACAGCCTCTTGCTCTCCCCATCCAACTCCTTCTTCTCCGCCTCTCGCTTCCACGCCGCATCCACGAGGTTGAAAATATCCTCCCTCATGCTCGCCTCGATGTTAAACTCGTCTATCATCTCCTCTGCCTTGGAGCTCGCATCCCGCAGTTCGCTATCCGTCGACACCGCTTGGTAGAAGCCGATGATCCGCGATGAGAGCGCGGCGTTGTCTTCGTCTTGCGCGATGGGCAGCACGACGTTGGTGAAGGTGGCTTCGGTGGGCTTGGTGTCTTTTGCCAGCTATTTTGCAGATATCATTAGCTATTGCCTCTCTTCACCTCGAATGTCTAAACATCCCGAAAAGCGAACAACGAACTCACCTTATCCAACAGACCCCTCGTCCCCTCACAGAGCTTCTTCGCATCCTCAAGCAGGCTCTCCTTCGTTGCTGTGAATAGCGGTGGAGCCTGAGGCGGCGTCTTGTACTGCTTTGGCGCCATGCTGGAGTTCGTGATCGGTCTGAAAGCCTTGGCGTATGTAGGGCGGAAGTGGTTGAAGAGTGAGGAGAGCCGGGGACCGATGCGGGTGGATGAGGACGCCAGAATGAAGAGAATGCAGGTGAAGAGGGCGAGGGCGAGGAATGTTGTTCTTAGTCGAGACGAAGCCAGCGTTGCGAAGGGAGGCACGGACGTGCTTTATGTCATAAGAGAAGTGAATGGAAGGGTGAAAGGGTGGATGGGTGGGTGGATGGGAAAGGTGCGTTTGGGAGGCGGTGGTGAGGAGGGAGTTGTTGGTTTAAGGGGGGGGCAGAGGCATTTGCAGCTGCAGGAGGCTGAGGTCACCCGAGAGCGGCAGCTCAGGTACGATGCACCATTGGAGAATATTCCGATAATTGAGGCCCAAAGGCCCAAAGGTCCAAAGGTCTCGCAAGACCTTCCGCATTATCCTGATCAATTCACCGCTCTTCACCTTCGAATCAGATCAGTGGAAGGGTCCTCTCCAGGTTGCACAAGACCGCTGATCCTGAACCCTGCAGAACAACATCAACATCAGCATCAGCCTTGCGCATCGCCGATCGAGGTTTTTCTCGAAGCTGCAGCCTTCCACTCTTCAACAGCACTTCCATCCTCTGCAGCCACTCCATAAACCAACGCAGAGCTCGAAGATGGCTTCCTCTCTCCCTCCAAAAATCCACACCTACCACTGCGTCTGCACCTCCTTCCTCCTCGCCTCCACGCACTCTCTCTCCACGCTCCCCCGCCGCTCAACTTCGAACTCCCCCACCGCCGACGCCGCCATAATCCTCCCTCTCCCATCTTCGCCCCCAACCCTGTCCTCCGAAGATGCAGACCTACCACAAGAAGGCTACAGCCTGTTATTAGGCATGGCGCAAGACAAAAAAGTCACAATCGTTCGTAGGGAAGATGGGTTCGAGAAGCGGATTTGTTGGAGGTGTGAGAGGTGTGGGGTGATTGTTGGGTACGAGTTGCAGACACAGATACAGGGAGGGGAGGCTATGGATTTGGATGGTGGGGAGAAGGGTAAGGAGAAAGAGGAGGGGTATCAGGGGAAAGTGGTTTATTTGCTGCCGGGTGGGGTGCAGAGTACGGATGTTATGATGGGGCGAACGAATGGGGGGAAGAAGATTGGGGAGCAGGACGTTGCAGTAAAGGGCGCGGTGGCTGTTTTTGAATAGTGCTCTTGACTCTGGGACTGGGGAGAGAGAGTTGGAGAGACCTGTTGATAGAAGAAAAAGGGGATAGCATCACAGCATAGCGCGGCGTTCACATCAAAATACCAATTCCCAGTTCTGCTTCTTCTCAATTGCGTTCATTCAATTCCATGCTATGCACTCCCCACAAGAAGTCCATGATCTGCAAATCGATATCCATCCAGCCTCCGTTCCCTCTCCCATAACACCAGAGGAAGGCGGAGGCAAATCCATACATCAAACAATCAATAACAGCAACGTAACGCCATGTCTCCCCCCGTGTCTTCTGTGCATATCCGCAGCCCTAGCCATGCCATGAATGCGTATTCCTACAATGAAGTATGCTCTCTCTATCCCGCCGTCACTCTCTTTCGGATTCGTCGTCTAGTTTGCGAGGATCGTGCGGACGAGTTCTATTCCCCCTCATATCAGCACCCATCCCTCCCATCTCAATTCTTCCCTGCAAGAATCAAGGGGGACAAGAAAGAGAACATACCAGTATAATTAATCTCCCCCGAACTCGTATCCACCGCCTTCAACAACTCATCCACCTCCTCATCACTCATCTTCTCCCCCAAATTCGTCAAGATATACCGTAACTGACCGACACCAATGAACCCCGTCATGTCCTTGTCAAACACCTGGAAGCCGCGGCAGTACTCTTCGGGCTCGCCAGGGTCGCGGAAGCCGCCCGGGCGGTTGAGAATCTTGGAGAAGGTCTCGAAATCGACTGTATGCCCACCCATTCTCACAATCAGCACATTCTCCCTTCTCCTCTGGGCGCGGATCGGGGATGGATTGGGGGATGCAGGGAAACCGACAGTCCGAACCGACATTCTTCTCCAACTCCCGAATCTCCTGCAGCGTCGGATTCTGACCGCACGCTCGGAGTAGGTCGCCGAGAGACTCCAGCTGCACGCGCTGGTTGCCGCGCTTGTCGAAGAGCGCGAATGCTTCTTTGTAGTTGGTGCTTGCCTGCGCGTCGTACGGTGCGTTAGATGCCATTTTCCTTTCCTTTCGGTCAAAGTATCCCGTCAAACGCTCTTGAACCCCTAACCGTCTCTTTCAAACAAATGGAAGTGGAATGGAATGGATGGTGTGGATGGATGGGCTGATGTGTATCCAATGCAAATCAAAATCGATGGAGGAAGCAATGCGCGGATGTGATGTGGTGTGATGCGATGAAGTTGTACGTAAGGTCTCGAAAGTAAGGCAAGTCACGTCGTCGTCAACAAGTCAAAATGCCGTCGTGCCTGCCTGCCTGCCTTCCTTTCTTCCGCTGCCTTCCTTGCGTTGCCGTTCGGCGGTTTTTTTTTTGGCGCCGCGCTTTCCCTAATCCGCGCACCTGGAGGGTAAACAGAGAGAGCACTCACCATAATGCTTGTTGTTCCTGAGGCGAACAGAGTACGCGGAGATATTGAGGGATGAATGGGAGGACGAGGAATGGATGTGTATGAAAATGTGTTTTCTTTGGTCCGTGTCATTTATGCGGGTGCGTGGTTGAAACGAAACATTGGTGGGTTTGGCTGGTGGGCACAGCAACGCGATAGCGGGCGGGCGAGGCTGTGATTCCGGCGATGGAGCCAAGCGAGATGGGTGAGATTAAGGGGGTCGGAATTGAGCAATCAGGAGGCAGGATTGGGATTCTTTTTGGAAGATTCACATTCCCAAGCGTTAGAGTATTTCTCATAAGTCGGCCTTCAAATGTTATAGTCGGCCTATTTCTTTTCAATCACTAATGGGAATTGCATATTGTAAATTTCGAGCATTTTTGAGTATCACAGTTGGACTACAACGATAATGAAAAACGACGAATCTCAAGGGCAACAACAACAGAACATGAACCCCCCTATCTCGCGACACTACCAATAAAAACATTGAGCCATCATATCTCGCGATAATATAATTTCCAATCTTGTATTTGTTTTCGCTGGTCTATATAAAACCCTTGCTCTCTCTCAGGCAATTCCAATTGTCCAACGTAATTTCATGACTGATGAGCATATCGGCGGTCAAGTGGGGTAGCTGGCATTGTGCTGTGAGAAAGTGTAGGCTTTGGTATGTTCATTATCAGGACCATCGATCCTTTCTCTCGGCTGCAGCCATGACAGCGTCTTGCAAAGAACTGTCGAGATGAGTTTTGTGGTCAGGGAACTTCGTGTTCGCATTTCGTTCCATCCCCTTTCGGCTTGAGATTTAACCTGTCGCACTTCCGGAACTCCATCGAAGGAACGGCTTGGTGGTTAGGTCGATCTTAGTAGGAAGAAGCAAGGACATGAAAGCGGTATCCTGCGAACGAGAGTCCGCGAACGTTTTAGTCATCGAAAATTCGGTGAGTGGGCGAATTCTGACTCCAAGGGGAGAATACTATCAATATCTGAATTGGCCAGCTCGATACGATCTTAGCGGAGGGTTCTGGATTCTATTTGCATATGATATACATATCCACAGAGGGCCCGGGGGCTAGGAGTAGATGAATGATGACGAACTAGTCGGCAGCTTGGCCACATCTGCAGAAAAGAGTAAGTGGGGTGCGATACTCACATTGCTTCAGCCTCTCCTTTCCAAATGCTACTTTAAAGCAGCTCTACTTCCTCCTGGCCAACAAAATCACACTTCCCCACTCATTCTCGACCTCTACATCCCTCCACTCCTCCCCCGCCGCCTTCCACTCCGGCTCAACCTTTCTCATCTCCTCAAACAACTCATCCACAATATCACCCTCCCCGCCATCCTTCTTTGCCTTCCTCCCCAGATTCCCCTTCTCACTCGCCCAATTATGGAACGCACTAAATGTCCTCAAATACCCCTCGGCCTCTCCCAGCTTCATTCTCCCCCGCATCAACACCTCTCCCTCCCCACTACCCTTCCCCTCCAAACCAGGCTCATACTCTACCCTCCGCACATCCTCCCACTCGCTTTCCGGGGGTACAATCGCCCGATACTTCTCCCTCAGTATCCCTCTACCCGGCTGTTCCCAAAACGGACCCATCGTCTTCTCACCATAACAGTACCAATCCATCACTTTACTTGCCGCCGGATGCTCCACGAAGATATTATCCTTATACCCCCAAAACGCCAACGTCCCGCCTCGTCTAACCTTCTTGCTCAACTCGGGCCAGACTTTGCTGTAGTCGAACCAGTGCGCTGCTTGGCCTGCAACCACCATATCCAGGCTTCCATCTTCTATGAAACTCAAATCTTCTGCTGACGCTTGTCGGAATTCAATGTTTGAGTACTTCTCTTCGGGCGTGGAGGATATTGCTTGTGTTATCATGGAATTCGAGGGGTCGGTAGCGATGATCTTGGTGAAGGAGGGAGAGAGCTCGCGGGATATGAGGCCGTGCCCACACCCGAGGTCGAGGAGGAGGGAGGAGGGAGGCTTATGGTAGGAGAGCACGGTTTTGAAGAGTGCGGGTGGGTAGGAGGGGCGGAAGGCGGCGTAGGTGAGGGCGTTGAAGGTGCTTTTACTTGGAGATGTATGTTAGCTTGTTGTTCTGCGTATGGATGAGGGAGCGTACGCAAAGGTCGCCATTGTGTGCAATTAATGCAGTCTTTGAGATGCTTTGAGAGTGAGCAGGAGGTGCTGATATTTGCCTCGGCCTCGCACGGGAGTCACGGCATTGAAAGGCTGTCGATCAATCGCAAGCAGGAGCTGCGGTTCCCTCCTGGAATGTATTCCAACCCCAATTACCTTCCCTTTCCGTCGATTGACCGTACCCCTGCGCCTTCAACTAACAATGTCAAGAGTTGTTAATCAGTTGTGCCGGCTTACGGCGTGGTCTGCGATGTCGGTCGTTATTCAGCCTTGTGAGGTGTGCCAAAGAAATTGCTTCAGGGGCTAGGGGCTTAAGCTCGCTAAGTTTAATTTCTGGCCTGCCTCTCTTCAGCACACTTTCATTTCATGTTTCTTTGCGCCTATTTCTCTATTTAAACCTTCACGATTCTATTATAGCTCTGCCATTTGTTAGAGATGATACCCAAGTATCCTCTATCGCTCACGTCTTATTATTATGACGAGCATTTTTTTGTTTCCAATGAAAATTCATCTCCAATGCCAAGTTGTTTCAACGAACCCGGTACTGTTGTTTTGAGCAATCCTCACCTCCCCCTAGGGATGTAAGAATTATAATTTTGACAGTCGTTATATAATAATGTAATACAACGGAGAAAATGCGTTTTTACATTATTTTTACACGCTAACCTATTATGAAAAGGCTAGCTCGTAAGGGAGAGGGGGGTTCTTGGGTACCCTGCCCTTGACGAACGGAGACGCCCAAATTTACTTAATTTATGCCTAACTTATGCCTAAATTATACTTGATTTCATAAATCATAATAACGGCGAGACCGTTATTATATAATTACGCCATTGGTACTATTATATAAATTATATATCACAAATCTGACCATCCCCAACCCAGGACAAGTTGTGATCGCTCTTCGGCTTCCGCGCCACGTTCAAGCTGCAAACCCTGCATGATGCATCTAACGTCTCAACATGCTACCACCACCTTCCTTCTCAACTTCTCGATATGAACGGGCCATATCCTCTTCTCCGTCACATATGTCACATTGAGTATTAGACAGCGTCAGATACCCGCACGCAAACATGGGAGATGGCCGGCCACGGCTGCCGGAAAAGCAAAAGGCCATGTCGCCCATGATCTATGACCTTGGTCTCTGAGTCTTCAGTCTTTGCCTGGACGTTTTCTTTCGACAACTCGACTCTCGCGGCGCGTGGAGAGTCCCCAAGCATGGGCTGGTCCTCATTGTGGCGGGCCCGCACAACAATCAGTTCGTGGATTCTCTCGTTCTCATGCGCATTCTCAAATCCCATGCAAACCGCCGAGTCTCATTCTTGATTGCCGAGAAATCGATGAAGGAGCCATACATCAGCACAACGGCTGGCGCGATGGGAAGCTTGCCCGTTGTTCGTGGAATGGACCGAGCCAAGGCAGGGGAAGGGACTATCTACTTGCCCAACCCTGAGGATCCGACCCTCGTCTATGTGATACCCCCCGTTCGTCAATACGAGCGATTGATCAATCGCCCTCCCGATGGATCAATCGTAGCGCCCGATTAATCAATGGGGGGGGGGATTACGATTCGGGCTCCACAGTGGGTCCCGATTAATTAATCGGGTAATATTGAGGTTTCGGGAATGGCAAAAGCAGTATATATTAGTATACTTCACCCAAACCAAGCTTTATTATACATGCCTCCCACTTCGTCTAGGTGCTTTCATAGCTACTCTAGCCCTTTTTAGTACCCTCACACCCACTTGTTCACCTGATTCCCCTTCTCTAGCTCCATCCTCACGTGCTTGCTCAATAGCTACTCTCTTCTTTGCTCTCTCAGATACCCTTCCAGCCTTCTAAACTGACGAAATTGAATCCCGATTATTCTCCTTTACCACTGCTTTGGGGAGGGTAATTTTGTCTTTCTTATAGGCCGTACTAGTAATAGGCAAATCAGGATAAGTTAATTATAAAGCAACTTTATTGAGAGTATTATGCGGCCAGAGGGTTATAAGCTCACTATACTTAGTAGTTAACCGGTAGCCCTATTTTTAATTAGCTTTAGCCAAAAGTATATCCTTATAAGTTATATACCTTTAAAGTCTTTTTCAGAACTCTCACTGGAATCCGAGCTATTTCTGTACTAAATTAATATTGCTTTAGGATCTATAGGATTACGATCTCCTGAATATTATATTCAAGAGCTTTAGTACTAGCCCTCTTTACTATCTTCTCTTACTATTTCTTTATATACTCTATAACTCTCTTAGTTAGTTTAGACAAAATTATCTCCTCTACTACTTCCTCTTATTCTGCTTCTTTATTAACAAATAAGCTATTCTCTCTATTCTCTTTTTCTCCTTAAATTTTAATAGTAGATAATTATTCAGAAATACCACTCTTATTAATATCGATTTCCCTCTCTTCTAAGGCTATATATATATGGCAAGTACTTTCCTTATAATTTAGGAAATTAGTAGGTGGCTTTTATTTAAACCAGACCTCATATAGCATATTACCCTTAGAAAGGGCAGATATAGCCATAGTATTAATTACTTATATAATTAAAGGAAGTAATTATATTTAAGATTAGATACTAGTATTCGCTCATATGGCCTATAGTTATTTCTTAAAGATTTAATTAGTAACCTTAATAGAGCCCTGAGATTAGGAGTAATAAGCTCGTCCGCAAATAATCTTTATTTCTCTCTTCTTATAAACCTTAATTACTTTTCCCTTAAACTCGCCCCTATTATTATAGGCTAGAATAGTAATATATCTATTATTATTTAGCTATTTAATAAGCTTGTTTATAGCTTCGTCCGTAGTCTTAGCCTTAAGCCCACGGATCCAAACGAACTTGGAAAAATGGTATTTCAATTACTAGATTCATATATATTCTCTATCTGGATTATACTATAATAATATTAGTAAGTAGTATAAATAAAAATCGCGATTTTTATGATTTTCGCAAAAATCGCGAAAATCGCGAAAATTACAGGAAAAGCTTAAAAATATAGGAAATATAGGAAAGGCTAAAATAGGGGTAAATCATATAACTTAGGGAATACTTATACGGAAATCTATTAAATCCAGAACTATATACTAGCCAGGATAATGAGATTAAATAGGTATTATCCCTATATTATTCTTTTGAGCCTTCTTCTTATTATAATAAGTATAATAAGCACTTATCTAAGTATAATTATTATAAGATAGGCTATACTAAAGTCGTCTTATATACTCAAATATAGTATTAGAAGCTATTATATAATTAGTATAAAAATTAGTAGCTTTAAGGGAATACTTACCTATATATATTAATTTCTTATAAATAGTAGTTAAAATCTCAAAGGCATTATTATAGTAAAGAGTATACCGGGCTAGAAGAATCTTATTACAGCAAGTATTATAGTACTTCTTATAATATACTTGATTATTCTAAAGCTTATATAAGTAGGATTTATACTTAATATTAGCCTAGTAATACTTCTCTGTCTTAGTTTTACTAGGAAGCGGAGTATTAGGATTTTAAAGCCATTATCTAATATTTATATATTTCCTAGTAATAAGAATTTTCCTACTACCTTTTTTAGTAAGCCTCTGATTTTATACAGCTTTGTCTTTGGCAGACTAATTATTAGTAGGCTTTTTAGTAATTAGGGAGGGCAAAAACTAGGTGCCAGATAAACGAGCTCCTAGAGTAGTAATATTAAAATATTGCTCTACTCGCCTATAAATATACTAATAAGGCATATGCGGGATTAGGGATAAACAAAGGATTAAAAGAAATATATTAGAAGTAAGGTAATTAATTAATTAAGAGATATAAAAATCAGTAATTATACTTAGTAAATTAGTACTTATAGTACTTATAGTATAAACTATATCTAGAAAATAAGAAAGTAAAGGCCCTATACATATCTAGAAGCTCTAGAGAAGTGTCTTTATCCCTATTATTACTTCCTTTAATACCTAGAAAAAAATTAAATAAACTATATAATACTATAGGTATAGTATAAATAAGTGAGGTATAAGCGAAATAAGAAAATTAGACTTGAGGATATACTTAGTATTAAATATTAGAAATCTATATTATAGTATAAAGAGTAAGGCTTAAGCAAAGTAAAGAATATAGAATTAAGGATATATTTAGTATGAACTAGTAAGTAAAAGCTTTCAGCTCCCTTAGTCCTATTAGCCCCGAAACCCTAATATTATGCGATTAATCAATCGGGACATTGATTAATTAATCGGGACCTACTGTGGAGCCCGAATCATAATTAGCCCCGATTAACTAATCGTAGCGTCCGATTGATTAATGGGAGGGGGCGATTAATTAATCGCTCGTATTGACGAACGGGGGGGAACATATGGCAACTCGACAAACTTCACCCACTCGGATTTTATTGAGGGTGGTAGCATCACATTACCCAGAATGGGCAAGGGGGCTTCAGCCACGCAAACCATCGCGAGAATCATTGGTCCGACTGAGCTTCGACTAAAGAACCCATTCCCATCATCCGTAGCGGAATAGCTTTCGCTCACAACAGACGGAAAAATCACGGGGTCAAACTTCAAGGTTGCTCCGCACATCGACCAGAGCGGGATGTTTGAAGCCGTTTTCCACGAACTCTTGTCCAATGGTTGCGTAGGCATCTTCCCGGAAGGAGGTACCCATGATCGTCCAAATCTACTCCCATTGAAGCCAGGAGCAGCTATCATCGCGTTGACACTTTTGGCACGAGATTCTGACTGCGGACTCACCATCATCCCTTGTGGGATGAATTACTTCCACGCACACAAATTTCGCTCCCGCGCTCTCGTCGAATTTGGCCATCCCATAAAGGTGCACCCTGATCAAATCGAGGCGTACAGATGCGGTGGAAATGAGAAACGCAATGCTGTAGGCTCACTTCTCGAGACGATACATGACGGACTCGCCTCCGTCACTCAACTCAGTCCAGACTATGAAACACTCCAACTCATCCAAGCTTCGAGAAGACTATACATGTCTGCAAACAAGAAAATGCCGCTATCGCTTGTTATTGACTTTAATCGACGTCTTCTCCAAGGATACTCACGATACCAGAATGATATAAGAGTGGTCAACGTGAAGAAATCGGTCCTCGACTACAATAGACGTTTGCGAGCTCTAGGAATCAAGGACCACCAGGTTGAATGGGGCGACGTGAAACACAGACCCTGGTGGCTGATACTACTCATCCTCGTCTCCCGCATTTCTGGACTCGCCCTTCTGGCTATTGGCACTCTGCCTGGACTCTTCTTATTCTGGCCAGTCTTTGTCACCACAAAAGCCATATCGGTACAGAAGCAACGAAAGGCCTTGGCTGCTTCTGAAGTTAAGATTCAGGCCCGTGATATTGTTAGCACATGGAAAATCCTCGTTGCGATGGGACTGGCACCATCGCTGTACGTATGGTATACGGCCATCGTAACTACCTGGCTATACCACAACCGTCATGACGGCTTTTATACAAATTATCTTCCACGCAGGATGAACGCCAGCCTATACGTTCCAAAATATGTTCCCTTATGGATGTTCATGGTTTGCCTTTTCGCTCTGATGATTATTCTTACTTTCGCGGCACTCCGCACTGGTGAGATTGGAATGGATGTGATCAAATCATTACCACCCTTGTTAGTGGTTTTGGATCCCCAATCGGCCAGCTCGCTTCTTAAGCTTCGAGAGCATCGCCAAGCGCTTTCGGGGCAAGTCACCGACTTGATCAGCAAGCTGGGGCCAGAAGTTTTCCCAGATTTCGATCCTGAGCGCGTAGCTGAGGATATATCTCTGACCGACATCTCCCAATCTCGTCTCAAAAGCATGCCTCCAAGCAGGCCCGGAAGTCGCGGTCGCAGTCAGGTGTCTTCGCCAGGCATTGGATCTTTATCTCACAGCACCTCTATTCAGCCACTCAGCCCACTCGAGCACCATGACTCGTTAATGGAGGTGAACAAGAAGATCAGGGAAGATCAGGGATGCTATGCAGAAACGAGGTCGTGAGAGAATAAAGTCACGGCTTGATGATGACTACAGTGATGAGGGTATTTAGCGCATCGCTCGACTCAAGACACAGCGCTCTGGGGGCCTGAAACTCCTTGGGATGCAATGCGATATCGGGCTAACTTCACACACTACGGCCCCGAAATCATTTACGCTTTTGACTCGGTATGAATTTGCAAAACTTGTTCAATGCGTGTGCGCATTATCCACAGATTCAAGCAGACTTGATCTCGTTCGTCTTGTTTCCTTGACTGAATGACCTAGTGATGCCCTCGAAAACTAAAACTAGGGTCTGCGCTATGCCCCCTAACTTGGTCCATCAGTCGGAGGAATAGGGTTTGCTTTTATCTCTCTGATCGTGTCGCATATGTCGATTCCCATCTCGGTAAGCACATTCCTCAGGGAGGAAGGGGTTGAGAATGCTATCGATTCCTCTTGCCATGGATAGAAACTGCTCGTCATTTTGATCTTCTCCAACTAGCTGAAGACACGTTGGCGCGTCGTTGTATTCGCTTGGACTAGTATCTAAAGCAAGTTTAGTCTGCTGGGGAAAATGATTTTAAGCAGGGGCAGGCGACCCACCGAGCTTGTAGACAGCTTCATCTGCGGTACCATATTTTGCGTTTTGGTCCCTTATGTCGGATTCCTGCACGGTGCCTGCTGGTATCACCAAGGCTGGACAATCGGGAAGACTGAAGAGCCGAGCGAGGTTTCTTGCTGTCTAGGTATCTGGCCATACCGCCGCGTGAGGAGCAACAAATGTCAGTACAGCGTCTAGTCTTTCCGTCGCCCACATGTTCCGCCAGGCCTGGCTCGCCTTATATTTCGCGGGGTCGCTGGCAATTCTGGGAGCAGTAATATACGGTAGAGCGGCTGTTTTTGACGAGAGCTGCTAAACCGTATATAGGAAATCAGCGTAAATCTGGGGCAAAGTCAACTATTGGGCCAAACGAGAGCGAATCGCGGAGTTGAGGCCATTGCAAGAACTGGATATTTTGTTAATATCTGGCCAGCTTTAACCGTTCGCTTTATATAAGGTGCGTTTAAACTTGGCAATATAGGCAGGAAGGGGATTATTGCCTTGGCGGAGGATATAGAGCTTGTCTTTGGCCTCCGATTACCTGTTTGAATTATTATATACCCGCGAAAGCTAATCCAGGATCGTTTAGTAGTTCTACGATTAAATATACTTCGTATAGGAGAGCTATGGCAAAATCATGGATTGGACAGACGAATCAAGGTTCAGGTAGACATAGTAGAATTGAGCCGTAGTATCTCCAATTACCGTATCATTAATAACTAGCTTTGCTTCAATTAACAGAAGCCAAGTATCGAATTTATAGGTGCTTCTAGTAAACTTCTCAGGATTAGGAAACTTTGGACGGGACCTGGAAGCTTGGGTTTTCGCAAGAGCTATTTGCAGAGTGGCGATTTCAGCTTACAGGCCATCGAACTCGTATTGAACTTGCGTTTGGAAGGTGTCTATTCTCAAGAGAGTATTAGTAAAATTGGTAAAGAGGTAAAAAAATCAATGAGGTAGGTTAAGCTGGCCAAAATCGAGCCTTTTGACGCCTTGCGGGTAAAAGACTATAGGTAGCGCTATATAATAATAATAATAATAACTACCGTTTATAAGACAGGAGTTTTAAATTATATAATAGCAGAAATAAAGTAATAGAATAATACTTAAAAATCTATAATTCTAATATTCTATAGAATCTAAAGCTAAAGAAAGAAGAAGTGAGATGTGGCAGTAAATAAGTAGGTATAGCCAAGACTACTAAAATACCGAGCTTTGGAAGCGAGTTTGATTTGAATTATAGCTTAGAACCTTAGCTAAAACTAATTCCTTTAGCTAAAACCACGTCTATATTAACTATATAATACTAGTTATTATAATAAGCTTTCTAATAAAAATAATAGATATTAATTAAAGAATCTTCAGACTTAGTAGTTCTAATAATAATAATAAAAGTAAAAGTAATAAATAAATGCCTTAATTTAATTAACTAATTAACTAAAAATACTTGGGTTTTTTTATTTAATTCTTTCTAAAATAAAATAAATTAATATAATAAATTCTTTTAAAAAATCTATTCTAATTAAATTATTTTTAATAATATTAGCTTTATTTTAAATAATATTAAATAGAAACTATATTATAATAAAATATAAATAGTTTTATTTAATATAAATATTATTATATTAAAGGCATTTTTAAAAGTCTTATAATTAAATATAATTATATTATTAAAGTTCTTATTAGATATTTTATATAAGATATATTAATATAATATAGTATTTAAATATTTCCGGAAATTTACTTTTATAATATTTATAATATTAATTTTGTTTTTTTATTTCTTATTTAATTCTTTTTCTTTTTCTTTTTCTTATTTATTTTGAATCGAGTTTAATTTCTTTATAATATGTTCATATAATTTATAATAAAAGAAATTCGAAAATAAGGTATAGATATAATATATAGATACTAGTTTAGATACTAATAAGATACTAGATATCTAGTTTAGATACTAGATAAGATATAGATATCTCAGATATCTAGAGATATTAAGGTATTAAAGTAAATATTTTGCTCTTAAATATTTTATCTATAATAAGAAATTTAGGAAGTAAAATATTATAATTCCGGGAGAATCTAAAGCTTAAAGAACTTGATTTAATAGTAAAATCGAAGTAGTAGTTAAAGAGCTTTAAGGATATATATAGGATATATATTCCGGAAAAAGAGTTCTATAAATACAGGTATTATATAAGTAGAAAAGATAGTTTCTAAGAAAGTAGTCTTAGGACTAAAAGAAGTTAGTTTTAAAAAATAATAAAAATTAAATATTTAATTAATTAAATAACTAATTATTTATTTATTAGTAAAAGCTAATATTTTCTTTTTAAGTTATTAAATACTTTTTTGAAATTAATAAATAATTTTCTATTTTAATATATAAATAAACTTACTTATTTTAAATTATTAAATATTACGAAACCGGGTTTCTGGGCTTGGAAAGCAGGTAAAGTGGCTCTTAATCCGAGGATTCTAAACTAAGGAGAAAAGCTCTAAGTATAGGAGCTTTAGTATTCTAAATACTAGCCAGCCGCATGGGTTATTGCGGTCACGTGACGCTAAATTTACTAGTAAAGCAGTAAAGCATAACATTAAATACTTTTCTAATTAGTTAAATATTTCTTTAATTTATATTAGTTTATTAGTAATATATAATATATATAATATATTTAATATATAAATTACTATTTAAAAATAAGAATTATAATATTATAATATTAATATATAATTCCTAAATTTATTAAATTTAATAAGAATTAGTTATTAATTAAATTATATATAAAAAGTAAAATTATATAATTATATTTTATTTTTTATAATTATTTAATATTTTTTATTTAGTTTTATTTAGGTTTATTTAGGTTTATTTAGTTTTATTTAGGTTTATTTAGGTTTATTTAGGTTTATTTAGTTTTATTTAGGTTTATTTAGTTTTATTTAGTTTTATTTAGTTTTATTTAGTTTTATTTAGTTTTATTTAGTTTTATTTAGTTTTATTTAGTTTTATTTAGTTTTATTTAGTTTTATTTAGTTTTATTTAGTTTATTTAGTTTTATTTAGTTTTATTTAGTTTTATTTAGTTTTATTTAGTTTTATTTAGTTTTATTTAGTTTTATTTAGTTTTATTTAGTTTTATTTAATAATATTTATTAAATAAAAGTTATTAATATATAAATATTTCTATATATTTAATTAATAATTATAATTTATTTTTATAAATTAAGCCCTAAATATTATATTTTTATTTAATTATATAATAGTTTTTTAGAAAAATTTTTATAAGTTTAATATATTTAATAAATTATAATTTATTTAATTAAGCCTTTTATAGTATATTAAATAATTAGATTAGATTAGATTAATAGCTATTAATCTAACCTAATTAAAGAATTTTACTATTAATTATATTCTAATTATAATCTAATTAGATTAATTAATAGAGTATATAATAGTATAAGGGCTAGTAGCCAAGCTAATACCAGATTAAGGTTTAGGTCTAGCCATATTAAGAATATACTTTACTAAATTAGAACTAGATGCGGTCTGGTCTACTACTTATTAAATAAATAAATTATCTAGAATTCCCTTAATTTTTCTATACTTCTAATTCTCTTATAAATTATATTTATTATAAATAAAGTAATTAGAAATTAATCTCTATTAGTAATAAATACTTTAAAATTAATAGATTATTTCTAATTAGAAGAAATATTAAGAATTACTTAGAATTAAAAGTTTTTCTATATAAGAAGCTTATTTTCCTTAGTAATTTTTCTAGTATTAAACTTTAAAATATAATATTAAACTAATTACTATATCTATTAAAAAGCTTTATATTATAAAGTTATTCTATTTTACTTAATATATTTGAAAATATTTTAGTAATCCTTAATTAAAACTAATTTAACTTAAAATTAAAACGATTTTATACTCGAATTATTTAAGGAATAATCTTTTCTTTTTTAATTTAAATACCTTAAAAGAATATTAGATCTCTCTTAAAAAGACCCCGAAGATATTCGAATATATACTATTAAATATTTAGTTTAAAGATATAGATAAGTAATTATTATAGTTCTATTTTAGATTTTAATTAATTTTATATTAGGAAAATCTGGATTAAATAATAAATATATGGCTTTATAAGTAATTATTATATTTATTTTCGATATTTTTATAAGTTTATAAGTTTCTTAAGCTTAAAGACTAATAAAATTAATAGTAAGTTAATTAATATTAGTCTTTAATTAATTTAACTAATATATATTTTAGATAAAAGCGAAATATTAAGCTAGTTCGGCTAATCTAGTTAGCCTATTATAGCTTAGCTATTTAATAAATATACCGGTTAATATAAAGAAAGCTTTATTATTAATTATTTTAAAAGATTATTATTAAATTTTATTATTTCTAATAATATATCTTTTAGAACTATTATTAGTCTAAGTTTTAAAAAGCTTTTAACTTATTTAAATTAGTAAATAATTTAATTAACCTTATTTAAAGCTTTAATACTAATATATAACTAGTTAAATATTACCTTTATATATTACGGTTCTTATAAGCAAATTAGAATTAA